AGTGGTCTTAGCCAAACCATAGCCCTAGGGCTAGTAGGTTTAGGGGACCATCTACATGAGTATCCCAAAAGATCAAGGGATCTATGCTAGAAATTTGAGTTCAGGGTTGTGAGTGATTGTGGGTACAGATAAGTGTAGTGAGTGCCTTAGCTCCAGACCAACACCCAAGGTCAACCCTAAGGTCCAGCAATCCTAAGGGTGACTGATCTTGAGTTTCCCCCACAGTGACTCTACCTACTAAGTATTTAGAGGTTGAGAGCAACATGTGGAACTTCAAGTTGAGTAGAGAAAAATTTGGAATTTCTAGTGGTGAGGGTTTCATGTCTAGTTTTCTAGGAATAGTCAACAGGAAAAGTCCTATGGCTAGACCCTAGCCTACTAAAGAGGAAAAACTAAACCTCAACAAAAATTAAGGTCAACAAGAAGAAATATTTAAATTTGCATTTTATTATTATATTTCAACTTTTATTTCTATAAATTTTGAATTTTCAAACTTAGAGGCTTTTATGAAGAATCATAAAAAAATAATAAATTAGGAAGATGATTAGAACCTTCCTCCATTAATGACCACCTACCACCTTTTAAAATTTTCTTCTCATTTTATTAATTTTTTATCATTGTAATCCCTATAAATATGAATAATATGTAACATTTTTGATTAATTATTGAATAAAATGTTTGAGTGAGAATTGTTTCTCTTGTTGTTTGGTAGCTGCAAGTGTTGCCTTTTCCTTGGTGAGATTATATATTTTTCTTTGCTTTTCTTTTAAGTTATTCATTAATTCTCCATAACAAGCCTCCTAAATTCTTCACGACTCTTCATTTGTGTCCTAAGCTTCTAATAATATCAACAAACTAGCAAACAAAACCTCACAACCCTTCCAACCCCTTGGTCAAGCAAGAGCATATTAAAGTCTAATCTTATTCCCTATCCCTCAACACCATTGTAAACTCATCCAAAATCACTCATATACTCCAGATCATAAGTCACATTCTAAGCTAAGCACCAATAATCATTTATATCCATTTTACATAGTCTTAACTCACTTTGCAAAAGTGAGTTCAAATCAACCCAAAAGAGCCTAATATAGGCTGGTCTTAGTATTTTAGCCACCATTCCCACATAAATCCTTTAGCATTCCACCAAAATATCGACATCAAATCTTTAGACCTAACACCGAAACTAATAGAAAATCTCAGTACTTCATTTCATCAAAAGGTTGTCCAACTCTATCATCTATCTTAGAGTTATATTTCATGTTAATATTAATGCTTCACAGGGTCTACTGAGAAAATATATGCTCTTTTAAAATCAAAAGTATTTTGGGTATCTTTACTATCAAAATGCAAAAATTTCTAATAAATATGCCTAGATTTGAAGATTTATTTGTGGAGATAATAGTTTGAATGGATGATTTTAAAGCAAATGCGCTTCTTTATGGGCAACCCTTAAAAAAAATATATCGCATTTAAGTAATTTATGTAAGATCACTATAACTTACAAAATGAAGCCAAGTGTTTTCTTTTGATCATTAATTTCTCATTTCTCTAGTTTCCATGGCTACATGGAAAATCCATGATTAAAGCTATTAATACTTACATTATATACATTCTCACTTCTAATACAAAGGTTCAACTCTCCTCTCATATTCTTAACTACTACTAGAATCGTGACAACCTCCCCTAACATGAATAACTTTTGGCATATAATTAGCATTGTTTAGATTTTATGGAAAGTTGATTATATTACTTTAAATTGTATTTTTAATCCTGCACAAAAAGTTGGTTATTGACATATGCACACATAATCACATACCCACGCCTTCTTGATGCCTAATCTGCATCTAAAAATATGTCTTGCTAGCAATAAAAAATGGCATGACAACTATAGATATTCTCATAAACTATAATATCTTTTATGGTATGCACTGGTCACTATTGCCACAATAATTTTAAGGAATACCATACACTTTTGGCGTCCTCATAAAATAAATCAACTTAAAATATTTCTTTCTTTTAGGGCTCTCAATTTGCTTGCGAGATGTTATATGTGATTTTTCTTATGTTGCTAGTATTATTCATTATCTAAAGATTTCTTGTAAGCGCAATGATGAAAAATTTTTGAACCCTTTGGAATTCTAATAGATGTCCTCTTTTGCATTTTTAACTTTAGTTTGTTGGCCCATATGATGATATGATAATAGTGATCCTCAGTTTTTCTTCTAGATCTTCTGTTAGGTTTAAATTGCTTTAATCAATTTTACGTATTTTTTTCTCTTCGAGTTTTATATTTTTTAACAACTCTATATATTAGTTGCTACTAAAATATCCTTTCAAAATTGTTCTTATGTGCAGAGGATAGAATCTGTTAAAAGACTATGTTTTCTTAAAGTTGGGCTCTCAATAGTTTTTTGGTACATGCTTAGTGTTGTTTCCTATTGTTGGTTATTACTCAATTTCACTTCTCTATCTTATTTTTCCCACGGAATCTCTTACATGAGTTATGATCAAAAAAAATTTTTAAACCTTATGAGTACTTATGAAAGGTATCTATTCTATTAGATAAATTGAGTATATGACATTGAGATCATTGACACTTCTTATTGGTCTTCAACTAGTTTTTGTTTTAGTTGATTCATTTCTCTGATAAAATTTTTTATGCCTTTGAGTTGATTGAAAAATTTTCCCTCTTTTTTCCTTGTTTTGATTTTTCATTCCATTCTTTTGAGACATTAATCATATACAATGCACCCGAAACATTATTATTTACAAAACAACTGCCCCACATGCTTATTTTTTTTTCTTTCAAACTATCAATCCAATATTTAAATTCATAATAAATTCCAATCTATATATTTAATTTCTAATTAGTTGATCATAAGACATGAATTCAATAGTTTAAAAAATGCTATGTGTGATCATTTTGTAAAAATTAATATTTTGAGTGGAATGTATCTAATTATCCCCACTTTTCTGCTTGACTTATCAATTATATTTCAGATTTTTTTAGCTCATGTAGAACTAATTTATATATTTAAGGCAAATTTACATGCATACCAATCAATTCTTATGTATTTACATTTCTAACACCTAAGCTTCAATTTTTATGTACATGTCATCTTAAGCATGAAAAGACGTGTTTACTTTTTGAAATTTAAAGTAGTTGCCTTTTTTATATCATATGAAAGATTTGGGTGGTCAATATAAAATTAAATTTTAACTCTTAGAGATGGAAATAATTAGGACATGTTGGGGACACTTTCTATTTTCTATTTTTGTTTTCGGTATATTTTGTTTCTTTTTTTTTATTTTCTATTTCTAAAAAGCACGTTTAGTACTGTATGTTTTATATGTTCAAAAAAAAAATCTAAAAAAATTGGTATTTTTTATTTTTTAAAAAAGAAAACTATTCTTTTTTTAAAAAATAATTAAATTGCATTAGCTACTAACATGTTAATTAATTGAAACTATTTAATTAATAACCACTAACTTGTAAATTAATTTTGAATATTTAACTACTAACTTGTTAATTAATCTTTTGATGAATTGTTAAAACTTTTTATTAATTTTGAATATTTAACTACTAACTTGTTAATTAATTTTTTGATGAATTGTTAAAACAAAACTATTTATTTATTTATTTAAGTTAATATTTTGTTAAATTGAAGTTTTAATTGATTTGAAAGTTTTATAAGTTTGTTAAATTTTATGGATTAATCAAAGTTTCAATAAGTTTAGTTAATTATTTAATTAGTTTATTAATTAGTATATTAATTAAGTTGTTTAATATTTTATTCAATTATCTATATATTTAATGATATGTTAAAATAATTTAAGATTTTAATTTTATTATTATTAACTTTAAATGATTAATATTTTATTTGAATTATTGTGGTTTTAATTTATTAATTATTAAGCTAGTTAAGTATATTTATTATTAAATTAAGTAATTATGAATTAATTAAATTCATTTAGGTTCAATTTAAATAATTAATGATTTAATTAGATGATTATTAGTTTAATTAAGTATTTTATTAATTGGTTGAATTTTAGTAATTTTTATAATCCTTTTAATTTATTAATGAGTTAATTAAGCAAGTTTAAAAGTGAAGTAGTAGATTAATGGCTTACATTGGTCATTTGATTTCGACCGATGATAGTTAAGCTAATTTAAGGTTTTAGGATATAGCTCTGAAAAATAGGATTTTAAAACGGTGAAAACATAATTTATATGTTTTTGAAATTTTGAAAATGTTTCATGTGCTTTAAAAATAAAATGAAAAAAGAAAAAAAAAAAGAATAAACAAAGATTATTTTTTGATTTGTTTTTTTTTTTTTGAAAAATAAAAAAAATGCAAAATAGGAAATGATCCTAAAGAGAGCCTTAGGAAATTGGGAAAAAAATTGCGTGTTATAGACGTACGCAGCGCGACGTACGCAGCGCTGCGTGCGACAGCGCTGCGTGCGATATTGGGTTATACCGAGGGTACAAGGGGGTTACATCCACGATATAACCCCTTTTAACATCTCTGTAACATTCTATAACCTACCTGTAACCTAAAATAAGTTTTGCACTTCTGTTATCATATATTAAGAATTTATTAGTAGGTTACAAGTAAGTTTCAGAAGGTTACATGGAGGTTACAAGAGGTTATACCGTAGATGTAATCCCTTTGTACCATCGGCATAACCTCAATATGGTACACATCGCTGCGTACGTCTATCACACCAATTGGGTGTTACGCATGCAAATGCCTCTATATTTATTGTACGAATTGAGCCCAACAAGTTTTTGTTAAATAAAATTAAAATGAGCTCTTCACTCAAAAGTCATGATATCCACGTGTCAATCTTCAATTGGCCATCGGCAAACACAATCCTGCTCGAAATACGCTCAAGCCACACGTTCAAACACGTGTCTGCCATCCAATGGCTCACAACTTATCCAAGCCAAATCTGGAAGATAAGGCCTCCCATCTTTTTTCCGATTAAAACCGACTAAATTCCACTCCCTCCCCAACTCACTCCGGATCACCAGAGCAGAAAGAATGGCTCAGGCAATGGCTTCAATGGCCGGCTTACGTGGATCCTCGCAGAAGGTTCTGGAAGGAAGCCTCCAGCTCAGCGGAGGAAGTCGCCTTGAGGCTCCGGCGAACCTGTGTGTTTCTAGCGGTGGTCGGTCGGGGCTCGGCTTTATCAAGGCTCAAGCGCAGCGGGTGGAGGGCGAAAGCCTGAGCGGCCGTCGCGCTTTGCTTGGGCTTTTTACAACAGGCCTCACCGGCGTTGCTATAGTAAATAATGTTCTCGCCGAAGCAAAACCTATCAAGATTGGCCCTCCCCCACCGCCCTCAGGCGGTCTCCGTAAGTTTCCTGACTTCATCTATAATGTTTTCAACAGCAAGCCTGGCTACATGAATTTTTTTTCTCAATTGACTCCTATTGAGGAAAAAAAATTATGTTTGGATATTTATGGGGCATCATGTCAATCACAAATAAGATATACGATTGCGTGATGCTCAACGCAAGCATGTCCAAACACAATATTTATTCCATATTGAGTCATATTTTCATTTAATTGTAACATATTAAAAATATATTTTTTTTACAATAAGCTCAAATCATGTTTGGTCTAGTTCTGCCTTTCTTAACATAAGTTGAATCTAATATATCTACTATTCTAATCGGATCATTAGATGACCGACGTTTAATGTGATCAAATCATCTAAGACGGTTCTCTCCAATTTTGTCCAATTTTATACGGGAGTGGTGTTACACCAAGGATATAAAATCAATGAATATCAAACTCTCATAAAGATTTGTCATTTTGATAAAAAAAAAGCTTGAAATTAATGATTTTTTTTGGGGGTTAATTATTAATGATGATTGGGTAAATCCAACAGCCGGGACGCTCAACTCTGACGAGCCAAGGGACCTGGATTTGCCATTAAAAGATCGATTCTACATACAAGCCCTGACTCCAGCCGAAGCTGCAAAGAGAGCGAAGGAGTCGGCTAAAGACATTCTGAATGTGAAGGAGCTTATTGACAAGAAGCAATGGCCGTATGTGAAGAACGACCTCCGCCTCAAAGCATCTTATCTCCGCTACGATCTCAACACTGTCATCGCAGCCAAGCCCAAGGAGGAGAAGACGGCTCTCAAGCAGCTCACTTCTAAGCTTTTCTCTACCATTGATGACGTCAGTTCCTTCCATCCTTCAACTTTATCTTTTATGCATTAAGTTTTTGCGTTCCATATCATTTGAGATAACCATTATTATAATCATCCAATGGCTCACTACTTGCATGATTTAATCCGAACTCTTTTCGGATGATATTTGATTTAAGTCAAATTTAACTGGATCATTAAATTATTTCCTTTTGTTTCATTTAAATATCGAAAATTTCAAAATCTTTCATTTTTGGGTCCAAATTTCAACTTTTTTTTTATACTAGTTGCGATTTTTTTTTCAGCATACTCTCACACATTTTATATTAT